GTTTCTTCTTGTATATCATCAAATCGGATCCAACTGGCACAGGAGGAAATTATCTCTCCTCCAGTGGAACATCTGGTGGATTTGAACAGTGCGCCTTCAGGATTGCAGCACAGCTTCTTGTCACTAGGCACCAGAGCTTTTGTGTTCTTGATGTTGAAATCTGTAATCTTTGATCTTCTGAAGCAAGCACGTCAGGTCCTCCTCACTTTCAGTAAGCAAGGTTGTATCATCCACATAATACAGGTTGTTGACAATTCTTCCGCTGATCCTGACACCACCTTCTTCTTCATAGTCTGGCTTCATGAATACATGTTCTGCATACAGATTGAATAAGTACATAGTAAGGACACAACTCTGATGCACATCCTTCCTTATTTTAAACCATACAGTGTTTCCTTGTGCCATTCAGATAACAGCTTCTTGATCTAGGTATAGACTTCGTACGAGCACAATTAAGTGTTCTGGGATTCCTATCCTTCTTAATTTTAGCCACAGTTTGTTGTGACCTTTGCATAGTCAGTAAAACACAGATCTATATTCCTCTGGTATTCTCTGTTTTCAGCCAGGATCCATCTGATATCAGCGGTGCCACAGCCTCTTCCAAAGCCACCATGGACGTGTGGCAGTTCCTGGTCAATGTACTGCTCCAGTCCTTTTTGGAACAAGTGATGGTAGACACATGGAATTAAGCATTTATCAAAAGTCGCAGGTCTACACAACGCAACACAAAAGATAAACCTTAAAGTAAACTAAGTCCTACCATAAAAAATAGTGGTAAACAAAACTATAAACTGCAGTTCATCATAATATACCAGTATCAGTTCAACAGGTTTAACAACAAGGGCCACAGAATATTTAAAGATATTAGTAACAGAAGAAACTGAGCAAGGGAAATGACGAGTGGCCTTTATATAGGAATGATATGGGTTTTCTGCAGTCTTTATGTAAACCTTTTAAAAATTGTTCTAAAACTAAATACCATATGAAAAATTACAATAACTTTTATAAAAATTTGGAGGTAAAATTTTACTGTCTTATTTATAATGGGCAAAAAGGGGCAAGTAGTTTAAAGATGACTGTCATTATGTTTTTATGTGAACCAGCTGCTTGGTGATTCAGGAAGAGCAGGACTGAAGTTTCCAATGAAATGCACTGGAGTCTATCCTCTCTTAGTGACCCCATCCTCCCTTAGTGACCAACCTCATTTAGCAAATTCATCCTCACTTAGCAACTCCATCCTCATTTAGTGAGTGCATCCAATAACGGGCAGTGCTTTTGGATGTGTTAAGTGACACAGAGTTGGAGAAAATAGGTTCTTTCAGGGTCACATTTTGGAAGTTCCTAAAGACTTTAGCAAAGGATTCAACAACTGCTACAAAACATCACTTCCAACCTTGTGCACTGGCTTGTTCACAGTAGAAACTGTCTTATACTAACAAACTTGTGGCTGAAAAATAGTGCTCTCTTTCCCAAGACAGGAGGTTCCATGAGCATTATCCAAAACTGGCAAACGATCCTAGAGACAGGATGACTCATTCAGGTCAGTGCTGTGAGTCAACATATGACGTGTCCAGAGAATGGCAGAGATGACAGACACGGCCTCTTTGCAACACAGGATTCCACTGCTAAAACTGGGAGACTTGTTTGAGAGACTCCATGGGCATGCTGTGCTCCAGCTCATACAGACCAAGCTGTCTTTGTTCTACATGATATATGAACACTAATGGGGAGCCCACCTTCCGGCCCAACATTACAGCCACCTCCCTGTGGACTCCAGGATGTCTCCCTGCTGTCGTTTCAAAGTTCACCAGCTCCACACCTCTGCTATCTCCATACAGGCACACAGAGCAGGGGAACTCCAGTTCCCTAATAATGTAAACAGAACACCAAGCCCACCAGCAGTCCAGCCCAGGCTCACATGAAAGCAAGCTGTTCAGGGTCCTAACTGCTGCCATCTATTCACATCCCCTTGCCCAGGCCCCACCGTAACTGAAAATTCTGAGCTGTGCAGCAGTTAGTAACCACCAGAGGCACTGAGAAGAGTGACATGGGAATCTTTGATGAGACGCTTAAAAAGACTGACATCATATGTGTGGCTGTGAAACCCTCTATGGAAACCAGATGAAAGAGGTAAAAAGGCTTCAAGAAAGTTCTGGAAGGGTATCGAATGGGAAAGTGATGATTCCACATTTTCTAAGATGGGAAGAACCTGGTATCTATTACAAGAGTTCACGAAGACCATGTCTCCTGGGTCTCTAACTTCTCCTGGTAGGAGACACTTCTTCCAAAGACACAAGCCTGAGAATCTTTACCTAGTTCTGCTAGTCAGTACTAAACAAGCAAAAAAAGGCAATGAAGGTATGAAAAAGGGCAGAACATATAAGGTAAGTTTTAAAAGACTATTATTATTCAGTCAGAAATGTTAAATAAACACTCTCAAAGTGAAACTACCATGTCAATCAGCACCCACGGGCTCGAGTCCACAAAAGGACAGCTTATTTCCTCATTCTGGTTCAACCACCAGCTACTGGGAGCAATAAGATTAACCATTTGAAATCACAGTGCTTTGTGACTCAACTATTAAGTCACTTCGTGACTTATCTTGTGAATGCAAGGCCCCTATTATATAAATGAAGCCTTTGCTTCACAGAAATATTCACCACAAAAATGAAGTCTAAAGGTAATGTCTATACTTACTATCACATATAAAAAACCCTCAAGAAAATATTGAGTTGAGGATACTAAATCACAAAAATGTACAATTACGATCCTTCAATAAGCTCAGCATCCTATATATGACACCAGCTCTTTAAGAATATGAACTATAACAGAGAGTCAGTAATTTATCCACGTCTAGGTCCTCAGGGACGCTCCTTTCTTACATCATTTTATGTCCATTTTCTGCCCTCCGATTTGACATTTCAGAAGAAGCTAAAACAATTAATAGTCACACTGACAAAGGGGTGATCTAGCAACTAAGCAGTTCATTATACTAAAAATTGCACAGAATAATCTGGACCACAGAGTTGATAAATTGGCCTCATTAGGATGTTCACCTTATTCACAGAAACATTAATCTCATTTTCTTTTCATTTTAGGCAACACTTTCAGTTAGCCACATTGTTCTCAGAGAATGAGAAGGGCTCCCCTACTACAGGCTGGAGTGGATAACCAATCCTGGTGATCATTTTAGATAAAAATGTCATCACCTTTCATGACCCTTGAGACTTATTTTAAACATATCTGATAAGCTATTTTACTAGAATCAAAATAACAGTGGGCTTAAGCATAGTGGGGACTGTAAGGAGGGGCAGTATGGGTGAGGGCCACAGGACAGCTATGAGTTGGCATAGGCTTGACGGCAAATAAAAACAATGCAATGTGCAACAGAGATGGGATCTTTGAGCAGAGTGTTCGAGGATATTTCTGAGACACCTGGCAAAGTAAGAATCATGGTCTATAGATTGTTGTTGTTGTTGTTGTTGTTGTTGTTGTTGTTGTTGTTATGTGCCGTCAAGTCATTTGCGGCTCATAGTGACCATATAGATTAGGTAATAGTATTATGTCAATTTTGATAATTGTCCTCTAATCACATCAAAATGGTCTTGACTGTTAAGAACTGAATAATCAAGAAATCTGTAGAGACACTGTCCTGAATTCAATGGCACCCCCTAAAATTACAGGTGTGTGATGATGTAACACGGACGCTGTGTAAGAGTCCTCCGTGATCTGATAAAGGATCTGCTGCAGGAGGATTAAAAGTGAAATGAAACCTTTATTTCACCATCAGACTCACTGCTGTAGAGCTGATTTTGACTCACAGCAACCCTCCATCAGGTTTCTGAGGCTGTAGATCTAAATGGGAGGAGACTGCCCCTCCTTCTCCTGTGGAGCGGCTGGTGGATTCACCAGAGACGCTCAGTCTTTGGCTTTGCCACGCAATGCTCTATGGTGTAGGCTACCAGAGCTCCTTAAATCTGGCACAGCCACTCCTTAACCCCATCACAACCATGATTGGATGGAAGGGATGTCTCCTTAGGGTGTATCCTGTTAATACCTTTTATCCAACAAAAAGGGGAAAGGTCAGAAAATAAGCTGAGAACTGGTAACTCAATACCACCAGGGAACATTCACTAGGGTGCATCATTGTGCACCGGCTCCCTGCACCAGGAAGCTCTTGGTTCACCAAGAATGGCCAGGTTGCAGGACGATCTCATAGGAACACTGAGTGTACAGATGCTGAAGGAAGCAAGAATCTTCCAGAACTAATAAAGAAAGCACCTGCCCCTACAGTAGACCCTGTGAATTTGGACTTGAAGCTTCCTAAATTGCAAGGTAATAAATTTATGTTTGTTAAAGCCATCCACTAGTATGGTATCTCTGTTATATACCAGATAATAAGAGCTCTGATGGCCTAGCCCACAGAGAGCTGTGCTGCTTACGCAAAGGTTACACCACTCTGATGGTTCAAATTTACCTTGGTTTAGGGGTTTCCCTTCGTGCAATTTACAGCCTTGAAAACTTGCTGGATAGTCAGCCATTAAGTCAGTTCTAACCCAAAAGCAATGAGTTGAGCTGAGATAACCAAGGCAGCTATTTTGTGTACAACTCACTCTCATTAGTTCAGAATAAAATATTTCATGTATAGATCAGGAGGAAATGATAAAGAAAAATACGGCAACACACTAACAATTGAGGAATCTAATAACTAGAGTGGACTGGAGGCCCAGTGGGTAAGGAATTGTGTTGCCAATCCAAAAGCAGATGGTGTGAATTCATCCAGTGCTCTGAGGGAGAAAGATGGGCATTCTCTTCATGATTTTTGGCCTCTGAAAATTCACTTGAGGATCAGCGTTATCAACCACAGAAAAAGTACTTGAGTTTTATTCCACTATAAAATCACTGAATCTCAAGGTTAGAAGAGTACTAGTAGACCCAATATCTCAAATATCTAAACATAATCAGAGGATGAATCAGGCATAGTCAAGTTTGTTTCACACCTTGAATTGCTGCTGATCTCCACCCAGCCCAGTCTCCATGATATGTGAAGCAGAAGTCCACCAACCAATGTCTGCCACCTGAAATGAAGAACAACCAAGGTGAATTCCACAGAGCACCATGTTCTCAAACACTAGTCAGCCCTAGAAGACTAGCTAACATAACACAGTAAATCCTTCTTAAAGCTCTTTTCTTCCATTCTTTCCTACTCCAGGCTTATCCTAAATAGTCTTACCCATAGTAACTGCTTCTCCCACTACCTCTGTACTCTGATAATTTCCAAATCCTTACTCTTACTCATATCCCACTGCATCCTACATACACCCAAACGTAACATGCCTAAAACAATTTATTGTCAAGAGCTTCTTCAATGTGGGAGAGCAATAATGTCAGTTTAAAGACTAAGGTGTGGCCTGATCTAAGTCATGTTCTTTTCTATTTCTTTCCATGCATATGAAAGTTAGACAATGAATAAGTATGACAGAAAAGTAATTAATGCTCTTGAATTGTAGCATTTGCAAATAATTCTAAATATCATATGTACTGTTAAAAGAACACACAAGTCTCTCTTGGAAGTACAACCAGAGTGCTCCTTAGAGGTAAGGATGGTGAAACTTCATCTCACATACATTAGGCAGGTTGACAAGGAGACAAGAACCACATGATCCCATCAAGTGATGCAGAAAGGCCTTTGAAAAAATCCAATACCCTTTCCTGATTAAAACACCCAATAGAACAGGAATAGAGGGGAATTTCCTCAACATAGTCAAAAGTATATATGCAAACCCAAGAGTCAACATCATTCTCAATGGAGAGAAATTAAAGGCATTTCCTTTGAGAACAGGAAGTAGACAAGGATGCTCACTGTCACCTCTCCTATTCAATAATGTATTAGAAGTCTTAGCGATAGCAGTAAGACAAGAGAATGAAGTAAGAGGTATTTAAATTGGCAAAGAGAAGATAAAATTATCTCTATATGCAGATGATATGATAGTATACCTAAAAAACCCTAGAGACTCAGCAAGAAAACTATTGCACAGAGTTGAACAATTCAGCAAAGTGGCAGGATACAAGATCAACATATAAAAATCAATTGGATTTCTCTACAGTGACAAAGAGAGTACAGAACTAGAACTAAGAAAAACAATACCCATCACAATAGCCAATCACAAAATTAAATACTTGGGAGTAAATCTAACTAGAAACACAAAAGACCTATTTAAAAAAATTACAAAATATTACTACAAGAAACAAAGAGACCTGGAGAAATGGAAGAATATACCATGCTCTTGGATAGGAAGACTCAATATTGTGAAAACAATTCTACCAAACGCAATCTACAAGTTCAATGAAATCCCAAGACAATTACCAATTCCATCCTTCAATGAGATGGAAAATGCAATTTCCAATTTCATCTGGAATGGAAAAAGACAACGAATAATCAAAGAGACACAAGGTAGGAGGCTTCTCACTCTCTGATTTCAAATCCTACTACACAGCCATGGTGAAAACAGCATGGTACTGGTACAATGGCAGACACATAGATCAATGGAACAGAACTGAAAACGCAGAAATCAGCTCATCTACCTATAGTCAACTGATTTTTGACAAGGAGATGGAATTAGTTAAGTGGGGAAACAAACGCCTCTTTAACAAATGGTGTTGGCAAAATTGGAAAACTAGAAAATTCAAGCAAGACCCACACCTCACACCATACACAAAAAACAACTCAAAGTGGATCAAGGACCTAGGACTAAAACCAAGGACTATAAACGTCATTAGAGAAAAACTTGGAAGAACTCTAGAATCCCTAATCAATAATATGAACATTCTCCCAGGCATCTTGAAAACCCTACAACCAGGAGAGAATAAAATAGATAAAAGGAACCTTCTAAGAATCAAATCCCTATGCACATAAAAAAAAAACAAACAACAACAACAACTTCTCCAATGGGATACAAAGGAAAGCCACAGACTGGGAAAGAATATTTGATAATGACATGTCAGATAAGGGACTTATACTTAGAATTTATAAAATACTCGAGCACTACAAGATAAACAACCCTATTGAAAAATGAGCACAGGATATGGACACTTTACCAAAGAACACATTCATATGGCAAACAAACACATGAAGAAATGTTCAAAATCCTTAGCTCTAAGAGAGATGTAAATCAAATAACTATGAGGTATCAACTCACCCCAGTAAGAATAGCAAAGTTCAACAAAGCAGCAAACAAAAAAATGCTGGTGGGATTGTGGAAAATTTGGAACCCTTATTCACTGTTGACAGGGGTGTAAAATGGTGCAACCACTATGGAAGGCAGTATGGCACTTTCTCAAAAAGTTGGAAACAGAAATCCTATTTGACCTCGCAATTCCACTACTGGGAACATACCCTAAAGAAACCAGAACTGTGACCCAAGCAGATATATACACACCTATGTTTACTGCTGCATTGTTCACAATAGTAAAGAGATAGAAACAACAAAGTGCTTATCAACAAATCAATGCATTGAGAAGCTGTGGTATATTCACACAATGGAATATTATGCAGCACTGAAAAACAATGAACTAATAAAATATTATGCAAAATAGGTGACCCTGGAGGACATTATGCTGAATGAAATATCTCAGTGAGAAAAGGAAAATGCTGTATAATGCCACTGTTATAAAATAGGACTGGTATGGGGGCTGGGGGGAAACTAAGAAAATAGGGGATCAGTAATGAACACTGCATTGAAACAAACGGCTGGGGGGAAACTAAGAAAATAGGGGATCAGTAATGAACACTGCATTGAAACAAACGAGGGGAAGAACTGTTTAAAAGGAATGTATGATTAGGTATTATCTGCATGACAACAATCCAGAATAAGAGGTGCATAGCAAAGTGGACTGGGGGTGGGGGAGGCAGGAAATTATGCAACAATGAAAAAAATCTTCTTAAAGAGAAAAGTGAACTGGAGGGAGTAGACAGGAAAATGTACAACAACAAATGAGTGGAAACTTTCTGTAAACTTTCGTTTAAACATCAATAAAAAATATTTTTAAAAAGATGGATTGACATACTGATGGTAACAACTGGCTCGAGTTATGCTGGATATTATGAGGATGATGCAAAATAAGACAAGGTTCAGATTGGTTATTCATAGGGTCACTCTGAGTCATGGTGGACTCCATGGCACAGGACAACAAAACATTCACTTGAACTTCCCCTCCCTCCGCTGTCTTATCATCCTCCTGATAGCCTTAGTCAGCCATGCCATAAAGCTAGACATCACCCTAGCCTTGCCTCTTGACTCACCTCCTTCATTCAGTCACACAAGTCTATTGATTCTACCCCAACAATGACTTTCATAACTGAAGCCATGTCCTCCATGCCTCTGCCTTGTGTCCTCTCATCACCGCCCACCCAGACCACAGCCTTAACCACAATCCCTCAACTGGCTACTCCTCTCCAAGACTGTCTGACACTATTCATTTACCCGTCATGTAGCTACAGAGTTCATTCAAAAATGTGAATGTAACTGTGTTCCTTGCTTGGTTTTAAAATGAGAAAATACTGTATCAAATCATTATTGTAGAATGAGTATGGAAACAGATGGGTGAGGAGGTGTGGCAAGGGGGTGGGGAGATTAGTCATGGGGTTGTACAATTTGATGGGGGTGGTTGAGAGAAATAGGAAGGATCTGGTATGAAAAACAAAGTATTTGAATTTTGTAAATAAACTAGTATTTTTTTAAAAAAATGAGCTGATTCTCAATACCACTCATAGGTATTTGCCTTGAAGACCAGAAAGCAGGAACTCAAGCAGACAATTATACACCACCATCCATGGGAGCCTTATTCATAGGAGTCAAAAGATAAAGAACTCAAGTTCTCAATAGCAGATAAGTGGATAAACAAAAATGTATATCCATACAATGTAACATTACAGAGTCAAAAAGAATTACAAAGCCTGATACATACCACAACATGAATAACCCTTATGTTGATTCATTATGTGTCATCTACATAAGGACAAATACTGCAGGGTATGAAATATCTAGAATAGGTAATGCATAGAGGCAAGTTTATCAGTAGTTACCAGGGGGCAAGGGAAGGGGAGGTTGAGGAGTTACTGCTTACAGTGCACTGAGCTTCTGCTTAAGTGATGAAAGTGGCCAGTGTCAATGAACTGTGCATTTAAAAATGAACAAAACAGCAACGTTTCTGATATCTAGATTTTACCACAATAAAATGAAACAAAACAGTAGAATCTTCTCCTTGCCACGGGGCATCAGCTGGCTGCACCTCTTTGGGGATCATTACCCTCACGTGGGGCCCTGCTGTCAGCCCAAAGGGCTCAGGGACTCACAGAGGGCAGGGCGGGTCATGCACACCAGCCTTGCCCACCCCAGATGTGTACATACACCCAGTACCAAATGACTGAGGCATTACTCTACAGAGGCACAACTTTATCATGTCCCACTCTAACTGCTGTTTTGAAACTTAAGATGGATCATTCATAAATTTCTAAACTTTCTTTTTATTTCTGAAGGATTTCCAACACGTCCCCTCAGAAGCAGTTAAAAACACCCATGTATTACAACACTCCAGTTGAGAAACCATGAGCTGTCAGATGAAGTCATAGGTGTGAGTGACACCCGGCCTTTGGCCTGTCCCTGCCCCATCAGGGTCAGCTCCGGTCCATCCGCCATGGGCGGTCACCTTCCAGCCACCCTGAACTCATGGCTGGTCAGTCCACACTTACAGGAGTTTGCACATGTTACATCCTCTGGACCAGAGCCCTCATGGTGCAATGATTAAATACTTGGTGAACTTTGGTGGTGGGAACCCATGAGCTGCTCCAAGTGAGGGAGATGTCACAATCTCTGCTTCTTGCTGTTGTTACATACCATTGAGTCTGAATCAACCCATAGCTGACCCTTCAGTGGGTTTGCAGAGGCAGTAAATCACACAGGAGGAAGATGCTCATCATTCTACCACAGTGTAGATGGTAAATTCGAACCATGTGCCTTCGAGTTGGTAGCACAATTACTTAAAACTAGGCCGTCACAGCTCCTGCTCTACCCTATAG